GAGTTGTGGCTGCGGAGGGGAAGGAGTTGGAGGAGGAGTCGTCACACCCCCTCGCCAGCCCATCCATACCCCGCACGCCCACTGAGGAGCATGAAGAGCACCAACTCACGGACCTGGTGACAGTCGGGTTTCCCCAGTTGCGTGGTGTGGTGCTGTTTGTCATTTATGAGTGGTTCTCAACCTTCCTAATGCCGCGACCCTTTCATACAGTTCCTCATGCTGTGGTGACCCCCAACCATAAGATTCTTTTCATTGCTACTTCATATCTGTAATTTTGCTACTGTGATGAATCGTAATGTAATTATATATGTGTTTTCCGATGGTCTTAGGCGACCCCTGTGAAAGGGTCGTTCTACCCCCAAACGGGTCGCGACCCACAGGTTGAGAACCGCTGGCTTAGAGGATTCTGCGCTGAGCAGAAGTAGACAAGACTAGAATCCCATGAAATTACAAATTATAAGATCAATCTTAGAAAAGTGCTAAATATCTAGTGAAGGGAGGGTGGGGTAAAATTCAAATTGATACTGATCGGATTAGCTATTTATGAATCTTCAGACTTGATCTTTCCCATTCTTGTAAGAAATTCTTTATCAAGATTTTCTCTTCTCAATTCTTGTACATCTCTGCCAAAACAGTTAATAAACTCAGCGATAGGAATATTTACTGATGTTTATTTAGCTCTCACTATGTGCCAGGCCTTTTTCATGTATTTTCAAATTTACAGCTCTCAACAATTCTATATCAGTGACCAATAATGATATGTATTTTTAAAATGCAGAAAGTTGAAGTAACTTCTTCGAGGTCACACCCCTAGTTAGTGGCTGAACTGGGTTCGAACCAAGGAAGTGAAACCTTAGAATTGTTAATACACGTTGTTAATTTATGTTCCAATCTCTATCGAAGAGAGTTTGTTGTTCTTTCTTCTTTTTGATTGATTTCAGAGAGGAAGGGAGAGGGAGAGATAGATAGAAACATCAATGATGAGAGAGGATCATTGATCGGCTGCCTACTGCACACCCCACACTGGGGATGGAGCCGGCAAACCCAGGCATGTGACCTTGCCCGGAATCGAACCCGGGACCCTTCAATCCTCAGGCTGACACTCTATCCACTGACCCAAACCAGCCAGGGCTCTTCTTTTTTTTTTTTTAACAAAATATTTTATCTATTTATTTTATTATTATTATTATTATTATTGATTTCAGAGAGGAAGGGAGAGGGAGAGATAGATAGAAACATCAATGATGATAGAGAATCATTGATTGGCTGCCTCCTGCATGCCCCCTACTGGGGAGGATTGAGCCCGCAACCCGGGCATGTGCCCTTGGCCGGAATCGAACCCGGGACCCTTCAGTGCACAGGCCAACACTCTATCCACTGAGCCAAACCGGTTAGGGCCAAAATATTTTATCTAAACATGGAAGGCATAAACTTGGTGTAAAGTAATACAAATTTAGACAAATGTTGATTCAAACTTATAAAATCTTTATATGCCTCTGATAATTTAAGGAAAATAAATAAATCTGAACACCCCTATTTGAACAGCATGATGCCTGGAGGCTCCTCAGCTAGAAGACATTTTATACTACTCTGTGTGCCCTAAAATAAGAAAGGGAAGATAGAGGGAGAAGGAGATTTTGACTAATGTTCTCTCAAGGTCAATTTTAGAAAACATATATCACTTTATTTCCAACATGGATATGTATGTAACTTCTCAAATATAGAACCTGACACATTATATGTGCTGAATAAGTGATTGGACTTTGGCTTTGCATCAGCAATTTAGGAGAACACACTGAAAGTTATTTCAGATTATAATCTGTTTGACCCTGCAGTATATTGTTCTCATAAAACCACCTCCAAAACATTGACTACTTTATATTCAGAAATGTACTTTTATTCTGTCCTGTCTGAAATTTTGTAACCTTTTTAGAAGTATGCCTTGTACTTGCCCTTTGCTCTGAAAGTTTGGCAATGTTCTTTGGCCAAAAGCAATAAAGTTCTGTTTTGCCTTTAAGTTTATTAGGCTCAGGGCTAGCCCTCTTGAGAGGACATTGTCTCCAAATTGCCTCTCTTCCTGGGCGGTGCTCCCATTTTAGCCCTGACTCCTAACTCAATCAAAACTTCAGTCAGTTCTTGAGTGGCCCAATGAACACCTAATAAACCAATTCACCAGGCTGATAACAAACAGCTCTATGTGTGGGCCCTCAGTGACATGTCTATGCCACTAAAGACTCTGAATGGGCACTGTCTTAACTCAGATCAGTTGTGGATTGCAAACACTGTGTCTGAGGGTATGCGGGTGGTGGGAGTGACGCAGAAGCCCTTCCCAGGGCTTTTCTATGTTCTGTGGAGGTCTATTCAATCTATTTTTGATGGCATGCTTATAAAGAATTGGGAACAAACATAGAATAGTTCTTGTGATCTGAAAGGCCTTCTGAGTATGGAGAGTCACACACTCCAGCTCAAATGCCCCCTGTGTAAGTTACATCTTTGCCTCAAGGCATCCTTCCCACACAATCACTTTAAAAGGAAGATTTCCTAGGAAGGATTATGCTTTTTTAAAATATCTGTCCCCCACTCCTTGCTCTTTGGCAACCATCAGCTTATTCTCTATATCTATGAGTCTGATTCTGTGTTCTTTTTATTGCATAATATTCCATCATATATATCACATCTTCTTTATCCATTCATCTTGATGGACATCTTGGTTGCTTCCATATCTTAGCTGTTACTAGCAATGCTGCAAAGAACATCGAAGTGCATCTATCTTTGCAAATTAGTGTTTTTGTTTTCTTCAGATAAGTACCCACAAGTGGAATTTCTGGATTTTACGGCATCTGTATTTTTAATATTTTGAGGAATCTCTATACTGTTTCCCATAGTGGCTGCACTAACTGACAATCCATTGATGGTGCACAGTGGTTCCCTTTTCTCCACATCATCACCAGCACTTGTTATTTGTTGATTTATTGATGATAGCCATTCATCCAAGTGTAAGGTGATATCTCATTGTGGTTTCAATTTGCTTTTCCCTGATGATTAGCGATGTCGAGCATCTTTTCATATACCTGCTGGCCATCTCTATGTTCTCTTGGGAGAAATGTCTAATCAGGTCCTCTGCCTATTGATAAAAATAGTGTCACCCAGCAAACAGCCAGCTGCAGAGAACAGGGTAGGTAGACTTGATAACAATGAATATAAAACAAACACTGCAAACCCAGTTGTACAAGAAACATCACATCTCCACCTTTTCTCTAAACACGCTTGCTTCAATCTGGGGCTAACCAGGAAATTAGAGACTCTAAATATTTACAAAGACAATAGAGTGCAATGAATTGATAACACAGGCAATGGAAAAACTCAGAAGCTAAACGGGAGTTGATGAGGTAATTCAGAAATTAGCAAGTGCAGCCCGTAGCTGGAGAAATGAAGGGAGGAAGCAAGGTTACTGGAACCCAGGGGCCAGGCAGGATGGCCAGCCTGGTGAGACTGCTGCACAGAGGAGAGACAGCCACTGCGACGGAAGTTGTCTATGGCAGGGAAAAGGGGGAAATATACCATAGATTCTCCTCTCCTCCTGCCC